ATCACAGAAAGGTTTCAACACAAGGTTATAGGGCCCAGTGCCCTGTTATTTATCCATAGTTGGGGCGGGGATTAGATGGATTCATACATTTCCCAAGGCTATTTGAGTGAACATAACGGACTTCATTGGAATTCGAATTTGGCTCTGGGATTCCTCAATCCATGCCGCAACCCATTGCATCATCTTGCTCTCTCTCTCTCTCTCTCTCTCTCCCTCTCTCTGTCTTTCACACACACATGCACACACACACACAGAGAAGGAGAGAGACAGACAAACAGACAGAATGTGTGTGTGTGTTTGAGGGAGATGAACATTTTTTTAAGCATGACACTCCTGAAAATGCAGGAGTGCCCCTGTTCCGTAAGGCGTTACAGAAAGTGAGGGCAGGAGTAAAGACAGTTTTTGAGAAAAAATATAGAGAAGGACAGGGATCAAGATCAAGGCATCATAAGATGTCGATTGATGCATTTGAATATTTGAAGCTTATAGTTATCAGGGAAGCAAGTAAGAAGAAGGAATTTCCACTAACGGGAAGTGCGAGACAAGAAGCTGTTGGAGTAGAAGAAACGGATATACTTAACCGTTTCGACAGTGAAAATATGGGACCGAGATGCCAACCTAGTATCACGCTTAAATTCATGCAGTTTGGGTACCAGTGAAAGTAGTTCGTCAGCGGGGTTGCCATGAAAATACTTGTAGAAAAGACAGAGGGAAGCCACAATAGGTCTGTGAGAGAGTGACTGTAAACGAGATGACAGATTAGGACCTATGTTACAATTATGCATCAGGCAACTTGATTAAACGCAAAGATAAGTATTGCTGCCACATATGGTCCGGTTTGAGGTTATTGATGAAGAGTAAAGACGAATTAGCACAATTATTGGTACCGATCTGGTATCTCAGCTTCAGTTAATTCTCAATGTCTAAGGTTACTCTGCTTACTCTCATGGTAACTATTCGGATAAGCTCTTCCCTATGGTACCTAGACACTTCGAATTTAAGTGCACTACTTGAGTGGCGATTAGGTCTCACTAATTTACAGTTGCTGGCTAGATGTAACAATAAATTCTATGTTAAGGGTTTCTTTGCTGGCACTTGTTGTTTGTGGAACTCCCTTCCAGCTCCATGCTTTCCAGCCAACTTCGATCTTTAAAAATTTGTATGGACCATCAATTATTATTCGATTATTCTTTCCTCTGTTCTCCCTACTTAGAAAAGTTCCTGCTTCTAAGTCTTTCACATCCAGTAACGCCCTTGCGGCTTAGAAAGCTTTACTGCTTTGCTTAAGGTAAACTCGATTAAAAAAAAATGCCGACAACCAACATAGAAGAAGAAAAATTACTACGTCAGAAGACCAACAGGATTTTATTCGTGAATTAGAGACAACACTAGACTGTTACCATTCCTATTTAAGAATCTCATGTAGTAGCCTTTTCGAATCTTTATTAAATAAATATAAGTGAATATTTACAGTATTGTAAGGGAAGGTGTGACATTTTCCCGAATATGTAAACCATGTTGTGTACACTAATCAATTGCTAATGAATAAACAGACAGATCGAAATATAACGATAGAATTAATATCCTTACATGAAAAAAAGCTAATGCAAAAAGACATTATTTATTCGATTAAAAAACAGTTATTTTGGATAATGAAATGAAAAAAAAAACAAACAAAACCCAATTTTTCTTTACGCCAGGTTATTTTATGACATGGGCGTTCATCGCTTTCCACAACTTCTTATCCTTTGTAGCTCTTTAATAAATTTTGTCTTTTTCGTCATCTTTCGCGAAAATATTGATAGCGGCTCGGATTGAGGAATGGGAGAGCCGAGTTCGAATTCCAGTCAAATCCATTATATTCACTTACGTGCTAGTTCCCTATGGAATGGTATGAAAATCCTCTTCTCCCCGCCTCCAGTTATGGGAAAATAGCAGGACAGACCGGGTTCTATAGCTTTGGAAGGCAACTAGTCTACCGAAGAAAGAAATAGCAGCCTACTGCGGAAAAAAAATATGCCTCGTCAGTCATGTATCGAAAGATACATGATCGCCTAAGGGTGTATCACGCATGGCACATAACTGACTGACTTATCAATTCCTGTCCTGGCAGGCATAAACACAATCTTGTTACGTAGGTTACTCGTTTCCTTCATCTCTCACTCTTGCCTTCAATATATCCTGTGTGTCTCAAATTGTCCATGTCTCCTATTTTTATGTCTCTTGGAAATTTCAGCTGTCTTCCGATTTTAAATATAAGCGTTCTTTTTTTCAATTTTCCCTTAAACACCCTACTGCAACACATTTCAAGTCCATACAATGCTCAGCATCCTTCTGAAGAACTGCATTTCAGTTGCCTCAGATCTTTTTCTTCATCGGTAGTATCTACTTAACTTAAGTAAAAAGAAATGAGCGTCCATCAAGTTTTTTTTTTTTTCTCAGAAAAAAAAAATCATAGAAAAAATTGGGAATAATTGGGAATAAAAATCTAAATTGGAATTCTGAAGAGAATCTTGAATGATTGAAGAAATTCCTGTCGCTCAACACAAGCGGCATCCACCAGTTATTAATTTTGAAAAAGGAAATTTGTTTCGTGATAAAAACAACGGCAAGATAGCATTTTATGAGAAAAGGCAAGAAAATAATATATTCAAAGAATTAAATGCTTACCAAAGATGTTGTCGATCGAAATCGTAAGAATATAGAAATTTTGCTTTCCATAAAATTGCACTGTTATGAAGACTATAAATTAGAAATGCCATTCGAATTTTTCAAAAAAAAAAAAAATGGCTGTTAAAATCCATAAAACTTTTTGTTCTTACCAATCCATCCTCGCCACTGTAAACAACAGAATTATCTCCCGAAACATTTTTTTTTCTTTTATCCCGTGACCCACAGTAACAGTGGCGTTTCCTGTGCAAGATAGTCTGACGGGGTCCAAGCCTTTTGAATTCAGAATTTTTTCTTCGCCTAGAAACCAGTCTGTCATACTTTTCACCCATAGCTTGGGGGTGGGGAGAAGAGGAATCATACATTTCCCAAGCGTATTAGCAGATAAGTGAATGTAATGAATCCGAAGACGTAATTTGAACACGGCTCTCCGATTCCATAAACCGAGCTGCTATCCATTACTCCACCATGACTCCACCACCCCGAGACATGCACAAATTAAAGAAACGTGCTATGCACTTGTGCTAATGTGATTTTATAATGTTTTCGATTTTCTGAATGTACAACAGATCAGCGCGTATTATATTACATGAGTTAGTATGACAAGGAAATCTGCGTAGGAATAGCGAAAGAGGCCTTCCAAAAGCTAAGTAAATTATTATGAAACAGGAAAATTTCTTCAAAAACCAGGAAAAATTTACTCATGAAATATAGTTCTTCCAATACGGTAGTGAAATTTTGACAATATCATCATAGGCAAAGGAAAGACCTAAAGGTAAGAAATGCTGTTCTACAGAAGGATGGTGATTATACAATGGAATAAACATATGAGCAATGACGAAGTTTTAGAGAAAATGACAATAGAAAGGACATATACTTGACAGCAGAAGGAGACAGTTGAACATTCTAGGGTTCATCATGAGAAAAAGTTTGTTGGCAAAATTGTGACTCACAGAACAAGTTTAGGAGAGATTGCAATACGACAACAATAACAACAAACTGCTTAAGAAACCTATGAAATAGTGCCACACACAAGGCAAAAAATATACATGTATATCAGACAATATAAATATAACCTCATAATTACTCAGCTTAAATCTACAATTATCTATCCATTTCTCATCATCATCATCATATTGCGGCCTCAGCCGAGATTGAACTCAACAATACTTTGATTGGTGTAGTTCATAATCTTGTCAAATAACTGAATTCTTGATGCTTCGCTAGGGCTATCAAGGGTGTTTTCATCGTGACACCATCACTAAATGGATTGCCAACCAAGGCTCAGAGAGACTCCATTCACCCTCCTCTAAGAGCAGGTTTTTGAATCAGAGTTTTCCTTCTCCTAGACCAGTTGCCATCCAAGGCTATAGAAGCCAGTCTGTTCTGGTATTTACCCATAACTGTAGGGAGAAGAAAGAGGATTCACACTTTTCAGAAGGGTGTTAGCACGTAAGTGAATGTAATGGATTCGACTGAATTCGAACTCGGCTCTCCGATTCCTCAATTCAAGCCGCTATCCATTACTCCACCGTGCATCCATTTCTCTCTCACCCTCTCTCTTTCTCTTTCTCTCTCTCTCTCTCTCTCTCTCTCTCTCTCTATATATATATATATATATATATATATATATATATATATATATATATATATATATATATATGTGTGTGTGTGTGTGTGTGTGTGTGTGTGTGTGTGTGTGTGTGTGTGGGCAGCTTGACAACGTCAGTATTTATCTTGCTTTTTTGTAAGGCTACCATTCCTCGGAGCATTGAATATTTTGCCACATCAGGTCTAGTGCATCTGTTATATCTCTGGAGATTCTAAAAAAAAATCCACAGTAGAATCTGTTGCTTTTTTATGTGTCCTGAACAGGTATACCTCCTTCAAAATAACTTTCCTGCCGCCGAAACCTAGCTCCCCTATGACATTTCTAGATGCATTTGATGATCTTTCCTCTTTTATACCTGGAGTTCATATATTTAATCGTATCTAAACGCTTTACTAGTGAAATTGGTAACTATAACCTTAAAGTCTATTCTAAAAAATGTCTTATTTGCTACGTCTTTAGCTTTGTAACTTCCAAATTCTCCCATATTTTAATTATAAACTCAAACGTTGTCACCTATCACCTTTAATTCTGTTCTTTTGTTGCCCTTTCTCCTCAGAAAACATTTCTCAGTGTCCTTCGCTTTTATTAACCCCTTGCATCTTACTGGCTTCTTCACTGTGCTTAAGGTTAAAATGATTAAGACAATGCCTCCCACCCCAAACACCACCAACAAAAAAAATCTCATGCCTGGAATTAATATTAAATCTATTCGGTAACGATGGTAGAATTACATTGTTCCTTCTATTCATGGCTTTTGTATCTATCCTGTATCTACCCCTGAATTATTTCAATGTGTTGCATTCTCATTCGAATTTTGCATTTTTCTGTTCCATATTTTTCAGTTATCTTCTTTCTGGAATATCATTCGTTTGCTGATTTCCTTCATAATCAATTTTTGACAGAGCCATATTGAATCCTGCATCTTTTTTTTTCACTTCTATCTTATTTATTGTCCTGGTATTTGCTGCTCCTCTTAGTTTTTCTTCTTCTTCTTCTTCTTCTTCATCTTCTTCTTCTTCTTCTTCTTCTTCTTCGCTTGTATATTTTCTTCCTCCTCCTTCTCCTCCTCCTCTTCGCCTTCTTCTTCTTCTTCTCCGCTTCTATATCTTCCTTCTCCTACTCCTCATCTTCTTCTTCTTCTTCTTCTTCTTCTTCTTCTTCTTCTTCTTCTCCGCTTGTATATTTTCTTCCTCCTCCTTCTCCTCCTCCTCCTCCTCTTCGCCTTCTTCTTCTTCTCCGCTTCTATATCTTCCTTCTTCTACTCCTCATCTTCTTCTTCTTCTTCTTCTTCTTCTTATTATTATTATTATTATTATTATTATTATTATTATTATTATTATATTCCTCTTCATTTTATAATCATCATCATCATCACCATTATTATTATTATTATTATTTTTATTATTATATTCCTTTTCATTTTATAATCATTATTATTATACTTTTCTCGTCTTCTTTTCGTATTATAATTATCATTCTTCTTCTTCTTCTTCTTCTTCTTCTTATTCTTATTATTCTTATTCTTCTTCTTCTTCTTCTTCTTATTCTTATTCTTCTAATTATTATTCTTATTCTTCTTATTCTTCTTATTCTTATTCTTCTTATTTTTCTTATTATTCTTATTCTTCTTATTCTTCTTATTCTTCTTCTTATTATTCTTCTTCTTCTTCTTCTTCTTATTCTTATTCTTATATTTCTTATTCTTCTTATTCTTATTCTTCTTATTCTTCTTATTATTCTTATTCTTCTTATTCTTATTCTTCTTCTTATTATTCTTCTTCTTATTCTTATTCTTATTTTTCTTATTCTTATTCTTCTTATTCTTTTTCTTATTCTTATTCTTCTTATTCTTATTCTTATTCTTCTTATTCTTATTCTTATTCTTCTTATTCTTCTTATTCTTATTCTTCTTATTCTTATTCTTCTTCTTATTCTTATTCTTATTCTTATTCTTATTCTTCTTATTCTTATTCTTCTTATTCTTCTTATTCTTATTCTTCTTCTTATTCTTATTCTTATTCTTATTCTTCTTATTCTTCTTATTCTTATTCTTCTTATTCTTCTTATTCTTATTCTTCTTCTTCTTCTTATTCTTATTCTTATTCTTATTCTTATTCTTATTCTTATTCTTCTTATTATTCTTCTTCTTATTATTCTTATTCTTCTTCTTATTCTTCTTATTCTTATTCTTATTCTTATTCTTCTTATTCTTCTTCTTATTCTTCTTCTTCTTCTTCTTCTTCTTATTCTTCTTCTTCTTCTTCTTATTCTTATCCTTCTTCTTATTCTTATTCTTCTTATTCTTATCCTTCTTATTCTTCTTCTTCTTCTTCTTCTTATTCTTCTTATTATTCTTATTATTCTTATTCTTATTCTTCTTCTTATTCTTATTCTTCTTATTCTTATTCTTATTCTTCTTATTCTTCTTATTCTTATTCTTCTTATTCTTATTCTTCTTCTTATTCTTATTCTTATTCTTATTTTTCTTATTCTTCTTATTCTTATTCTTCTTATTCTTCTTATTCTTATTCTTCTTCTTATTCTTATTCTTATTCTTATTCTTCTTATTCTTCTTATTCTTATTCTTCTTATTCTTCTTATTCTTATTCTTCTTCTTATTCTTATTCTTATTCTTATTCTTATTCTTATTCTTATTCTTCTTATTATTCTTCTTCTTATTATTCTTATTCTTCTTCTTATTCTTATTATTCTTATTCTTATTCTTATTCTTCTTCTTATTCTTCTTCTTCTTCTTCTTCTTCTTCTTCTTATTCTTCTTCTTCTTCTTCTTATTCTTATCCTTCTTCTTATTCTTATTCTTCTTATTCTTATCCTTCTTATTCTTCTTCTTCTTCTTCTTCTTATTCTTCTTATTATTCTTATTATTCTTATTCTTATTCTTCTTCTTATTCTTATTCTTCTTATTCTTATCCTTCTTATTCTTATTCTTCTTATTCTTCTTATTATTCTTCTTCTTCTTCGTATACATTTTTTTCTTATTATTATTATCATTATTATTTCACTTTTTCTTTTTTATTATCATTCTCATTCTTTTTATTCTTGATCTTCTAATACTTTTTTTTCTTTTTCTCCTTTTTTTTGTTTGTCTTTTTCTTCACCTTCTTCTTCTAATTCTTCTTCTTGCTTTTCTTGAACGACTGATTATATTTTCTTAGGAAATGTCTAACTCACAACATATTATTTGTTCTCTTTTTTTTCTATATACGTTATATCCATTTTGCAGTCCATCTTCCCCCGCCCCCAACACTTTTTCTTCTTCATTTCCACACAGGTTGTATCGCGTTCTCATCCTTCTCTCACCTCGCTTACATTTACTTCATCAACATCCGCTTTCACTCTTTCTTTCATTCTTTCTATAAACTTCATCGTTTTCTCCGTATCCATTTTGTATAGAATGATTACTTCCCTTCGCAGAGATCCTTCCTCATTTTCTTCACTCAAACTTTTACCAGATTCGTTTTGTTGACTTTCAACGCTTAATATTCTTCCATTATCTTTCAGAATATTTTTTTCTTAGCTCGTTCACCGCCATCATTTGTCAATCTTTCACAAAACACCTGATATTTGTAAAAATAAAATGGTTTAAAAAAAATTCCTGCAAATTTGTACTGATGACGTCACAGGATTCATAATAAAAAAAATATTAAAATGCAGTAAAACATTCCACAACCGAAATCAATTCTCTAAAATGGTTTTCCTGGATAACGAGCAACGGGATACCTTGCTATTTCATTTCTCTGAGATTTGTCACGCAATAATATGTCCACAACTTTATTTACGCACTCAGATATAAGCACATATTGAGTAATATATATATATATATATATATATATATATATATATGTGTGTGTGTGTGTGTGTGTGTGTGTGTCTGTGTGTTATTGTTTGTATGTATGTGCATATATATATAGAGAGATATATAGATAGATAGATAGATAGATAGATAGATAGATAGATAGATAGATAGATATGTATACACGTATGTACGTATGTATTTATGTACGGAGATAGCAGGAAAGTTGAAATGAGAAGAAAGAAATAAAATTACTGTAGAAGAAAATTTATGAAGCTATATATGGGCATATGTATATCAGTCAGTTATGTACCATGAGTGATACACGCTTAGGTGATCATGTATCTCTCGATACATGACTGTCAATGTAGTTGTTTTTTTCCCATTACTTTCTGCGGGAGGACAGTTGTCACCCATGGCTATAGAATACGGTTTGTGCTGGTATTTACCAATAGCTGGAGGGAGAAGATGAGGATCCATATCTTTCCCAAGAGCCTTTGCACGTAAGTGAATGTAACAGATTCGACTGGAATTCGAAATTTCTTATATATAGATCTATCTGTGACATCTATCTAACTATCTAACTATCTATTTATTGATTTGGTTGTCTCTTTCTTTATCTCTATCTCTAAATGAATTTTATTCATACACATTATTTCTCACATAACTTACAGAAAAAGTGACACTTGGCATCCATTATATATATGTCTTCCACACTATCTCTCACCACTCCCTATATCACATTACATTGGCTAATACTACCCTCCAAAAGAAGTGAGGTCTGATGATCCACGGAACAAAAAATCCCAGGGGAAATATATTATAACCTTATGGCACCTTAAAGTTGTGTGATTTTCTTTAAGTTAAATTATTCGGTCTGGATTCCATCATCCTTGGGATTATCCATACGGATTACCAAGATGTTCATTACTGATATATATATATATATATATATATATATATATATATATAATGTAATAAAATTTATATTACAATGAAGCAGTAATACAAAGAATAAATTATTAATGTTAATGTAATAAATTATATAGTGGGTGTTTCAAAAATTTTGATATCATTTCGCAATCTAATAACTTTGTTAGATCTCCTTCAAATGACTTCAAATTTTAATAGCATCTTTATGTTTAATGTTTGTTTTATGTTTTTATGTCTTTATGCTTTTGTGTTTTTCTTATTTGTATTTTTATGTTCTTTAATCTTTAATCTTTTTCTTTACAGATATAAAAATGCTATTTACTAGAAGAGAAAAGGCGTTTTGTGTGTTCACATAATCCACATGCTTTTGAATTTCTCATTCAGATTTGGAAGAATAAATCTTATGATCTTCAACATTAATACTTTTTAATTTCATTTGCCTTAATCATGTACTTTCTGTGATATTTACATCTCAAAGGATATCAATTTTTTTGAAACACCCTGTATATTGAAATTACGCGTAATAATAATCATCAAGAATAAAAGAATAAAGAATTAATAAAAAGTTATTAAAGAACTACAAATAACTAGAAATATTGCATTCGGATCCGCAATTATTACCACTGCATAGCCGCTAGAATAATTCGAAACACAATCTTTACGGTCCATCAAAATCAACCTTTAGAATAATACAAACGAATACCGACAATGTATCACTTACCTGTATATATAAATTGTCCTACACAAACACAACTCATTTGGCCTAACTATTGCGTTTCGCATGAAACAGACTAAAGCCTCAGGGCATTGATTTTAATATCCCCATTTATATTCACATACGCTCTATTCAAGATATCGAGCATCTTAACTCATAAATATAGCATTACTTAAAACTATATTTTATCTGAGAGAGACCGTATGTAACTAAGAGCAGTTCAGACGTAGGCATCAACACTTAATATATATAATATGTTTCAATATTTAATTAGGTAACTGATGGCACATTGTCGAGTCTCATACTCAGTGATGTGGTGTCAGTTACATTCTTAAATCATGAAACATATCACCATCACTTCACCAGCTATTACTGCAAGACCTGGTTTTGCTTTTGTTCACAAACATTGTTCATCTCTGTCATATTTTTATCGTTTGGATGATGATCATCAACACATCTTCAGGCACTTGATTTCATCATTTCGAGAAATTGCGAATGTCAAATTTTACCACCAGGTGGTATGATCTCATTTTGCAGGGTACTGACGTTTGCAATGTTTCCGGCCAGCCTTTTGACGATTCTTTGTTTAATGGACAGATCACTTTCTAATAGCAAGCTTTCAATGCAGAAGACACCTTTGTATATTCCTTTTGCTTATGCGAGCAACATAAAAACGCCAATCCAATTTATATGTTGAGTATGTTTGTTTCAAAGTCCTCAAATTAAAATCGTTCAAATACTACATCCAAGCGTACATTCTGCATTTGATTCTATGCATACGGCCTAGGAAACTCTGATGAAGATGCTAAAGGCAAGGCAAGCAATCGCGATAAAGTGGCTAAATATTGCTATTGTTTCTGGTGAAATTTTCGTATTGTTCCTATATATTAATTTATTTTTATTAATGTAATTTTTATATCTTGATAAATTATGTATTTGTTATAGCTTACGTACGGACGATAACGGGTATGTCCCCATTCACATAAAAACAGTAGTAAATACCGTATGTTGGTCTGTGGTTAGAGATTCGTGTCCAACCTTGTGCCACATCTGAACTCTTGGGGTGTTTTGTAGATGTTCCGCAATTGGATATTCGTCTCCAGCAGTGCTGGTCAAACTCTCTGCCTCAGGGTAGAAAGGATCCCCTGACGAAACTATTTCAAAGGGCAGAGCCCCCACCTGGGAAACAGCTACCCGACCCCATTTTATACGAGGTGTACGGGAAATTTTAGGCCGATCCTACGGGCTCGGGTACCCCACATTAAATTCGGCTTTGTGCCACATTTGTTATCGTGAGGCCGTTGGTAGACATCCTGCAGTCAGAGATTCTTCTCTAGCTGTCCTGGTGAAACTCTCTGCTCCGGGCAGAGATGATCCCCCAGACGAGAGTATGTCGAAAGGCAGAGTCTCCTCTAGGGAAACAGCTACCCGACTCCATTTTATACGTGCTCTATTTGGAATTTTTGGCCGACCCTACGGGCTCGGATACCCCACATTAAATTCGGCCTTGTGTCACATCTGACCGCGTGGGACGGTTGGTAGATGTGTTGCTCTTGTCCTTAGTATTATCGTTCATTACCGACCTTCATTTGATTTATTCTATTCAGTATCCTTTCATAGGTTAAAAAATTAGATATTTATTCAAAATAATTTTAGGCTTTGATTTAACCATTTTCTGTTTAGGTTTGTCAAATGTTTACCATCATTTATGTAGCTTTTGGAGAGAAATATATGCTTTAGGAAAAGAGATTTTGGAAAAAAAACCTTGGTATAATTTTACATTTAACCAAGTTTAGATAGATGAACTATCAAGAATTTTCAATTTATTTAAGATATATTCTTTTTTAATAAGTGTGACATCATTTAGATTGAAATCGTGATTGGGCCTATTTCTGATCTAAGAATACTCACATCCATTTATTAGGTGTTAACTGACATAACTTAGCAACCCCCGTTCAAGGAGGACTCATATTACGTAACTCTTTTCTTTGTTTCTAACGAAATTTTATTGTTTTTTTTAATTCCTTCTGGAAGAAATCATTCGCTATTCCAACGTGTCTGATGGCATCACTATCACACATTCCATCCTCTTTTAAAACATATCGCAGTAATTTAAATTGTTGTATTTATTTGAATTATGCATCTCCAATTTCCAATTTAGATATTACGATGTTCGGTTTTCTGAAAACCAGGTACTTTGTCATTTTGCAATTGATGTCTTTTTTCTCGCTTTCCTTCACGACCTAATGTAGCAGATTTTGTAATTTCCTTTCTCCGTCTACTATCAACATTGTGCCATCTGCATATCTTTTACTGTTAATATTGTGGCCGACAATCATTAATTCATATTTCTAATTCTCTCAGAATTGCCTCACTGCAGAGGTTAAATAAATTTTCTGTTTGTATATTTACTGAATTTAGTTTCTGTCCGAATACAGGTGGGTTTACTTAATTCACACACACACATACATACACACACAAAAACATATATATATATATATATATATATATATATATATATATATATATATATATATATATATATATCATGAAAAAAAATTATACAAAGTATTAAGTAGCAATGTTAATGTTATTAATGACGAAATCACCTCGCAAACAGGACTTAATGAGACATTAACTTATTAAAAATTCCTTGAATCGTATGATGTATATATTCGATTTGTCAGATGGAAGTACTTTCGACAATTTCAAATTGTCATCTTCAGGGCGTTATTTTCTTATATTTAGGCTTATGTTTTGTAGTTTGCTACGTCGCACACTACAAAACATATTCAACTGTCAATATATAGCATAATATAAAATACATCTTCGTTCTACACATATTTCGACTCATATTTACCGAAATTTGAAATTGTCGAAAGTACTTGTCGAAAGTACTTATTTTTCAATTCACCGTAGATCTGACTTGGTTAATCGAGACATACTCACAAGTATATTTTTAATTATGACCTTATGCCCCTCCATACTTAACTTCCGGAAAAGAGGTAAATTACATTTCCCTTAA